TAACGTAACGGAATACATTACAGAATACATTTTGGGGCATGTATTCTGTATTCTGTAATGGAATACATTTTAAAAGTAACCTTCCCAACACTGATAGTCCTGTATTCCTCTTTGTGTTTGTCAGAGCATCTGTGGAAGAAGTAACTTTATTGCTGTAACTAATTAAACTCAAAAGTACAAACATATAAAAACTCAGAAACTAGGAATTATCAAGTAGGAATAAATTATAAATGAGGGCCCGTGGAACACAAGGAAACACACAGTAAATGAAAACCAATGAATAGAGGGAGACTGTGTGCAGGACAAGAGGACAGGGGAAGCAAAACTGAACACACTGTACACTGGAAAAGAAACTGGAAGCAGGATAAACATGGAGATGAAGACAGGCTTGACACTTGGACCAGGGAGAAAAGGACACGAGGACATGACTGACTGGGTAGACGAGAAATAAACAACATGAAGACAAGGCTGACTAAACACAGGAGAGGAGCAGACACTGAGGGAAGAAAAACTCAAAGATCACTAAACTAAATGCTAAAAGAAACATACTTTATGCATGATGTAAAAATAACCATGAAACTATATTCAAAATAAACATAGAAACATTAAGTTAAAGACCCAGTGCCATCACATTGTCTCTGCTCCTAGCACCAGATCTGTACTCGCTTTTGGATTAGAAAATTGTCCTTTATTCTTCAGCCTCTCATAAGAAAACAAATTGATCTTTCATGGCCCGTGGCTGTTGGGCCTGTTGGGATTACGTGTTTATCCAAACTAGCAGAAGCTTCTGCACTTAAACAGTTTGCAGTTCTGTTTCAAAACAAAGGTACTATTGTCCGACTATTACATTATCAATAAACGGGCTGGTACCAATCATCCTCTGTTTAATTACACTTTTATTCTAATAACAAAATTATGGCACCAAAAGGTATAACAAGGACACAGTCCTTTGTTGTTTTTCAGATTGATCAGCAAGCCTGCACATGATTTGTTGAAATAATGAGTC